CCGTTAAGAGGATCGAGCGAGGAGAACAGGAGGAGGAGGATCCACCCAGGTACAACCACCCCTTTGCCCAGAACGGGTCCTTCGACGGAGAGTGGATTACGTAACACGTTTTTTCACGAGATGGATACATCCACACCCAAGGAGGAAGAATATTTTTCGAGGAGAATCGGAGGGAGATCGGGAGAAACCGGGCGATGCTGTTCCGTGCTTCCTTACTTCCCATAGTGGATGCGACGTATGGAATGTAAAGAAGTATGGAGCTGCGCCCGGACGTCGCGTCGTCCTTGCAATCGGATGGAGAGAGAGGAAAAGAAAAAAGAGAGAGAGAGAGAAAGAAACGGCACGGAGAACAGCTGAGGGAAACTTGAGAACCGAGAGTGATCTTCTTTTTTTCCTGTTTACTTCTTGTTCCCTATAATATGGTGGATAACGGTGTACATTCTCGCGAGAAAAGGAAGAAGACGAGAAAGGAAGGAAGAGAGAGAGAGAGAGAGAGAGAGGGTTTTGTGCAAAGAGAGAGTTCTTCGAACGTGGTTCTAGGTACGCGGCAAGGGAATGTACAACCGGTGCTATACAGTTCGGTCGTATCGATAGGCTGGATGCCAGAAATAGAGCCGGTTCCACGTATTTTGTAACGTGAACATCTTTCCATGTGGCCTCTCCCGCCTTCTCTATTTACGGTATGCTCCCGTGGCTAACCATGTGGTCGCCAGCTTTATTTAAATTGGCAAAATATTTCCCAGCCCGTTCCCAGGGCCCCCTTCTTCCCCTCCCCCTCCATTCATCTCGTAAACTAGAGATTTTCTTCTTGCAGATGACGCGGGAGATGCAACCGATGCCTGGTTAAAAAAGCACGCATTGTACAACCTCTCTCTCTCCCTCTCTCTCTCTCTCTCCTTCTTCCTCGAAGGATTATTCGCATTCGAGTAAGTATACACGATGATAATTACGATCGCAATTGTAAAAATCTAATTCTCTTCGAGTTGGCTTGGAAAGAGAGAGAGAAAGATATTATCCATAATAAATCACGTCTAATTTTATTACACGCAGGCGGAGACGTGCAGTAGAGTTGCAGGCTGGCGGCGTGGAAGGGAAGGGAAGGGAAGAGAGGAGGAGGAGGAAGGAGCTGGAGAGGAAGGAGATCCTCGTCCGGCGTTCGAGTCAAAAATAGGACGTGTACCACGCATGGTCACAGGCATATTTCCATAAATGAGTTCTCCGGTTACAGGGGTCTATTTCCGGCCCGGGCCGGCGACCCGGAGTTGCACAGCCAATTACAATCGGCTCCAGGACGGATCCCTAGTTCTGGAGAGGATTACATTGCACAGCGAGGATTCGATCGAAGGAAGATTTCTCGAAACGCGCGTGTTTCTTTCACTCCCTCCCCCACGCCGTGAGTGAAAAATTAAAATGGTGGTTTTTACGCAGAGTCCGGTCACCAGTGACGACCTCCTTCTCTCCTTTCTTTAATAGAGGAGATCTCTTTGGAGGAATTAATTTTTCTTTCGTTCGCCGTGGAAAGATATGTAGAAATTCGAGAAATATTTGTAATAATTTGGATTCGTCGTTGTAAGTGTAAGTTACGTTGCGGTGAATGTTTAGTTTTTACGAAGGATAATTGTCGAAAAAATGACGTTGTAATTAATGACGATTACTTTTACATGAATCGGTGAAAGAGTATTGGGTTAATCGTTTCTAACATGGATGAACAATTTTGCTTCCCTTTGCCCCCGAAGAATTTAGAGGTTATTAAGAACTTGGGCGTATTTGTAATATTTAAACGTTTGCATTTGATGTATACGTGGTTGAATACGTGTAAAGTGTTTAAAAATTCTGTATTATTGTTATTATTATTGTTATAAAGATAATAATAGAAGAAATTTATTCGCAATCAAAGTTGTTTCGATTAATTTATTTTTACGCGCATATTCTATTAATAAGTTAAATTATTCGATCGAGCAATTGTATTATATAATCGCTTGCGCAAACTATTAATAACTCTCGCGTGTTTCAAATATCGTATTCCTATATTTATATGTTTACTTTGTACGAAAAGTTTTATTTACGGAGAGTGCTATTTTACGATTAATTGCATCAACGACTGTGTATCAATTTGTATTATACAATGATATACGTGTATATATACGATATATGAAGAGTAATTAACATTGCAATAAAAAGTCGGCAATAAATAAAAATTATTATATCATATCATTATTAATTTGGATAAAAGAAAAAAAGATAATTTTTATTTCGTATTCATAAAATCAATTTGTCGAAAAATTGCGAAACATTTGTTCAAATTCATTTCCTTCAGTTATCGGTAACGAATTGAAACTTTCATCAAGTTATCATATACATATGTCGGTTGCAGTTCACTCGAGGCCCGTAACACGGCGCTGAACGATAGCCAACCAGACCGAAAGATAATCTCGCCTCTGGTAAAACTTGCCTTGCTTAAACTTCTTACTTAAAATTCCCTAATTTTCAAAGAACAATATCCTCGTGTCATTCGTCCTTCTTAAAAACATAACCACACTTTTTTTTTTGATAAAAAGATCATCCCATAAAATTTTATTCTATTCTCAATTTTAACGAAACAAAGAGATCCCCTCCCAAAAGACTCTATAATATATATATAGTTAAAAATTTCAAATTTATTAAAACGCTCAAATATAACCAATTCGTTTTACAATCTCAAATCCTATTTTGCATTTTATCCGTTATTCGAATTCCTCTCTTTTCCGATTTTCCAACGTGCAAAAGCAAGCTCGAACCTCAATTAACATCCGTGTTTCCCTTTCCAGGGATCGAACCCCTCCAAGCCCTGCCAATAAAAGTTGGGTAAACGGTCGATTTACGGGAAGGGGGCTGAGACAGTATCGCAGGTATGAACGTTAACCCTAATAAATAACCGACGGTGTGGGGAGGGGGCGTGGATGTGATCCCAGCTATGCGTGGAAGCCCCGACTATTCAGTGGATGCGGCCACGGCCGGATTTGCATTGCCGTCATTGTCGCGATTTGAATCGGTCGCTCCTCGCTCTGTCGCGGCGGCTTGTTTCCATTGTGGCAAATAATTCTGCGGCGCGGCGCAGATTAACGATTCCCTTGAATGGCGGAATCGCGACTATCAAGGTGTCTACGCGATTCGGTTTATTCTACGTTACTTCGGCGAGGAGACGTCCGAGCTTTTCGAATTATTATGCTAATTTTTCTTATCGACGGAGGAGGGAAAAGGGGATGGAATTCGGCCCCGCTTCGAAGAGAGCAGAATAGTGCGAGTGTTTTTTCGAAAGAGAGAGAGAGAGAGAGGGAGGGAGAGAAGAATTAAACGTGCAAAATGAAGAGGAAAAAATGGTACGAATGTTAGGACAAAAGAAAGAAAGGACAAAAAAGACAGAAGAGGAGATGTATGTGAAAAATATAAAAAAAGAAAGGAAGAGGGAGAAAAGGAAAGAATGAGAGATAAGAGGAAATAAGAAAGAAGA